TTTTCAAAGTAACCAACTTCCTAACTCTTAGCGGCACGAGTTCCCATGCCAGCCACAACAATTCTAGAGGAAAGTTTCATGTCTGGTGCGCTAGTTCCCAGGTTATGGAAAAAAGTCTATCATGTTCACAATTCTTCGATTTACTTGACATGCATATAGGAGATTGAAATTACATGACTATTAACTGAGTGTTTCCGGTTGCTTTTACATTAAAAAAATGTTTATAGAAAATGTTTAATAGTAAAAGTTTGTGGTGTTTGAGGAAAAAAAATGGTTTTAAAAAGTAAAAATTGATACTGTTTAATAAAATAAGTGTTTTTTGTTTAATTGATAAAGTGAAAAACAATTTAACACATTCCTCCACTTGCTTCCAGCTTTTAGCTTTTAAATCCTTAAATTTAAGCAGAAGTTGTCACTTTACATCACTTATTTTAGTTTCTTTAAGTTAAAAGTTGAAAATCACTTTTTTTTGCACACATTCCATAAATATCGGTGCAAGTTGCGAGATTGAATAATCAAAGTTCTCTTCAATTTATTTTAGGTTGACATGAATTATGTAGGGAAACTAAAGGAAGAGTAAAAGCAATGTAAAATTTCTAAGTTGGAGTACAATATTTCCCCCTAAATAAGAGTAACTTAATGTGATCTTAGATATATACTGTCATATATTGGTATAACTAAAAATTAATATGACAATATTAATGACATTATTGGCAATATTTTCCAAATATGTAAATAATTACTCGTAAGAAATGAAAAAATAATACTCACATTTTAAAATATCACATTGTTTTACTCCTATTTGGCATAGTTTCTTAGAATTTTACTCTTAACCAGAATAAGGAGTGAACCCCACAAACATGGGGCTTTCTTCAAGGGCATGAGTGAAGAAATGGGGTCCGTTTTAAAAACAGTGACTATAAGTACATATAATTAAGAGGCTAGGTAGAAAATGGTCTACTAAGCCATGCTGGTGAAGCTCGAACCATTATGCATGTTTGTCTACACTAAGGCAGCATAGTAACTATCTAGTCTTGTGTGTACTTTTTGTGGTGCATTCATGCCATGCTCCATCTTCCTCCATTGTAAATTACGACTAAAATTTCTCTTTCCAATACTCACTAAATGCTATGCCAAACTCCTGAATTAAAGAATATTTCATATGAGCTGCCTTTACTTACTAACTTTTACCAATTACTTGCACCTCGACAATAACGGGTAGCAATTAGCTAGGGTAGATCAAGACCTTGTTCAGCAATTATGATGTTTTCATTCACATGGTTTTCAATCCCAGAATAGATCAAATCAATCAGATCAGACTTAAACATATCAGATCAGACTAAACCAGACTTCAACAGTTATAAAAAACACATAGACCAGACATTTATCAGACGAGACTGGACTAGAAAATTTCAATCCAATTTTAAACATCCTTACTCCCTCAAATCCATCATGTATTTTAAGATGTACTTTCTGATTTGGATTGTCCATAAATGTGAACACTTTCCTAAATTGAACTTCACTAAACACATCACTTGATCTTAGCCAAAAGACCGAGAAAGGTATAATTATACGTAGTATATATTTACCTTTTTACTAATGTTGTACTCAAATTTTGACATATATGATATATATTTACCTTTTTACCAAAAAAAACTTCACTAAATTTGTACTTTCCTACTTTATCCCTTATCTACTTACTTGATGTTACTTTTCAGAGATTAAAACCGTAAAACAATTAATTTATATTTTATTTTCTTAAAATTTGTGCCAAAGACACGTGTACGTGGACAAAGGGACTATATGGAGTAGTAATTAATTAAATATATTTTTGGGTTAAACCCCTTCCGTGAGTGTAGTGGACCGGCCCTGTAGTAAATGATTTTTAATCTCTACAACGGCCCAAAGTGAGATATTTATAATAGTAATAAATGAGAATAAAGGGTCATGGATGACGTGTGGCAGCCTCACTAGTGCTAGGAGAGTCGCCCCGTCCACCATTGCTCTGATTCTTCTGTTGAGCCCCTTCGTTCGCAATTGAGGACAAAAGGTCATGGACGAGGGTTCCCAAATGACGGTCCTCAGAATCCCATTGGTACTAGTGTTTAAGGAGTTCCCTTTGTTGTAATTCAAAATCTGCCTTGTTTATTGACCCTCATCCTCAGTTGGGGCGAGGGGTGTCTTTAGTGCCTGAATTGGATTCGAGTTTGTTTTGGAGTGTGTGAGTCGCGAGACCAACTCCAGACCCATATACTCCATCACATAGACATCTTTTTAGTGTTCGATAATGCAACAGTCTTTCTGATTAGAAAGAACATATTACTTTTTTAAGGAATTAACTTTTATTTTACTATTTACCAATATTATATGATAAAAATAAATTTTCAAACAACAAATATTGTTCATTCTCCAATTTCCAATGTACGGGGGGCAATAGAGAATTGTCAATGCTTTCATAGAAAAACATGACGGTATGTATGGAAGTAGGATATATGAGCAATTAAAACAAAGGTGGGAGTGGGTGATATCCTTGAATTTAGGTACAAATTAAACATTGTTTTTTCTAACCCGACCGGCAAAAGGCTCTCCCACCAAAGCAAATGCCGGAGAGTATTCTAACTCCATGTTTCCCAAAATCTTCTCTTCCTTTCCCTTATTCTGTTCTCACCAAATTCCAGCACTTGAATTCCGTGTCTCCATGCAGGCGGGTTAAAACCCACCCGGCCAGATTCGGGCCGGATATGATTTCTTTGGATCGATTTTGGAATTGATTCGCCCCGATCCATTGTTATTAGTGGATTTGATTCATTTCACCACATCTGCAATCTGCTAGCTCTATTATGAGATGGGGATTGGTATCTAAATCTAATCCCTTCCACAAATCACGGATTTAGCAGATTGGCTGACGGATTTGACATCAAAGTTAATGTAGAACGCAATTATATGTTGTTAATACTTGATGGTTAAGTTGAGTCATCAATTCTTTATGAATTAAATAGTGAAAGTTAATTCAAATACTCCAAATTAGAGAGAGCCAGAGAGGTGTGAACTCAGAGATACATAAATTGATGTGTGAAATATATACCTACCTACATGTATTGAACATTCCAACCTGCACGGATAGCTCAGTTGGTCACAAGGTGAAAATTTGGAACAATGACAATGTGAGAGCAGCTCAAGGGGTTCTTTAAGCGTAGTCAACATTGGTTTAATCTCTGTGTTTAGCTGAGTTAACATGATTAACAACCTCATATGCTATGTCGGGCAGAGACATTTGAAACGATGTATTGAAAATTCAACATCAATCGGTTGCTAACACATTGGCCGATTTAACCTTTACCTAAACAGAATTCCGATAATAATAGATCGGGATCCAATATTCCAACACAAATAGTCATGCAAGGCAAATGCATATTGTAGTCGCAATGGATTGGTCATAAGTGAGGATTAAATGTGTGAGAACGATATTGAGTAAACTAAAGACTATTAGGGGGTCTAAGATCAGAGTACTCTCCAAGTGATATATCATATATGTACCAAATCATCTTGAACACACTCAAGTGATTAGGCTCCAGCAAGCCTTGTGTGATATATACAGTCTTAGTCATTTTGAACCTTTTCATTTGAGCTTGTTTGCTAAATAGGTTTTGAGGTTGGAAATTAAAAGATGTATGGCCATTGTGATTCAAAAACTATGAACGTGTTTAGCGGTCAGTGGATAACGAGTTATGTTAGCAAGTTGTCAATGGTGAATTCAATCAGCGGGGTTGACTAGGGAAATAAGTTGACGGGTTGCCAGAAGATTGGTAATTTAGCTGTTCGGTCATAAAAATTAGTAAAAACGCCGTATTTCAAAACACTAACCCAAAACTCTCTTATTCATTTCAATGATTCTGTCCAAAAACGCTAGGACCGAAAAACTATTTACCAAACATCGATTTCATTTATTGAAAACGCTAAAATGATCATACCGCTATTTTTTTTGACGGAAAAGTCATTTTTCAAACACCCCTATGTCTAAATTAAGGATCAACCTCATGATGACTTCATGAGATAGAAGACATCTCCGTCATTAAAGATATGCGTGTCATAAGCTTCTCTAATAGATTAAGCAACCTTGGCAACCCGTAAATCATAAATCAATTTACACATGTATCACAATTTGAATTCATTAAACACTTACATGAGAACCATTAATATTATTATATTCATATCATTTTCTAGTTAGTTCTATTAAGCCTTTTTTCAAGAACCCATCACAGTGATATGGCCATGTAGTGTATTGGATCATATATGATCGACATGCTGGCATGGGTATTCCACCAATCCATCCAATCCATCCAAATATATTTACCGATTGTTGAAAAGTCAAATAGTTTTTTAACATTCCATAAATGAATGCCACATACAACCATAAATCAACAAAAACACTTCTTAGCATTATATATACTCCCTCCATTACAAAAAAAATCGTTTTTGGAAACACTTATAATTAAAAAAGCGGGAAGAAAGTGTAAATGTATGATTGCCATTGTGTAAGAAAAAAGTAAATAAATATTAGCCACACAAATCATTCCATAAAAATGGGAAGAAATTTTTAGACATCCCGAAAATATAAGTGGAAAAAACAGTCCAAAATAAAAAATGATACTTGTACATGTCTGCTTACACTACGCCGTTTACGCGACAAGTGTATCCTGTCTCTGCACAAAATGAATTGGCGGTGATCCCGAACTGTCTGTGCACATACAATTCAATGTTTCGGGATCACAGAAAGTTCTCTTTATTGAAATGAAAATCAATTATTTTTGTATAAATAAAATACATTTGACGTGTAAACGAGCGTGTAAGTTGACACATACGATGCAATGTTACTCTTTATAGTGAGCTGTATGTACTCCATCACTGTTACATTAGCACGGCACACCAATATTCGGTAGCATTGAATATTTCTAAAGCTATATACACATAAGCCCACGACCATGTATGTAGCCATATGTCTTAGATTACACTTCTTTATTAAATTGAGACTTTCTCTCCATCTTTATTAATAAGTCATATTCCTCTTCCCAATTTTCTTCACCTATTTATCCTCTCCTCCACTTTACTGTTCTCCTACTATCCTCATCACATCATGAGTGATCCCAACTACACCAATGATTTCCATGGAGGATGCTTCAATAATTTCAATCCCCTCCACTTCTACCCTTCATCTTCCTCAGCTACCTCATCTTCATACATCTACAACAAGTGCTCATCCTACCCTCACTGTTACAAACCCTTATCCCCATCCTCTCCTCCTCTCAGAGAAGCTTTACCCCTCCTGAGGTTAAGCCCAGAAAGGCAATCAGATTCATCACCATCTTTGGCAGCTGCCATGGAAGTTGACTATTGCAACTCCAACAATCATGGGAATGGAGATGAGGAAGAAGAGAGCACTGTTAGTGTTGCTCTACACTTGGGGCTCCCAACTCTTGGTCCTGCTGATGCTGAACTCATCTCAAAGCTTTCATCTTTTTCCAATTTAGAGGATAATAACAACAACACTAGTTATAAGTATTCCAAGAATGGGAAAGATGATCAAGAATTGAGTCTGGGTAATCATAATGATGATGATAATAATGAAAAAAATAACAGTAATAGTAATAATATCAATAATATTAATAGTTGGTGTTCTTCTTCATCATCTGCCTCTTATCCTGGTGCAAGCACACTTCACAAGGGTCAATATTGGATTCCCACTCCAGCCCAGATTTTGATTGGACCAACACAGTTCTCCTGCCCTCTTTGCTTCAAGACTTTCAACAGATACAACAACATGCAGGTATGTTCAATTCAAAGCTACGGAGTAATAATTATGCTTTATTTTATTGATTTTAAGGAGTATATGATGATGATGATAAAGATCAGATCAGAGTACACCAGTATAACAATGATTTGATTTGTCCAGGCCAAAAGCCTTAGCTTTTCCTCTTTATCCTCCTCTCTCTCCTGGCTAGCTACATACCCTTCAGTTCTTTCCTTTTTGATTGCTTAGAAAAAGGGAATACTCATCCATCCCTTTGTGTGTGTTTTTACACATTTCTTTGCTAGCCTGGGGTATAATAATTACAAAAGCCTTTTATTAACTTTTGATTCATAATTATAACCTAAGCTTGATTGGTATATAGTTATGTATATAAGTTATATATATGTGGCCGTGTGGGGGATAAATGAAAGACATTACTATATATGCCTAGCATAGGTCCTTGTTAGGGTTTTCTTTTTCTTCTTACATCCACTCTCATTTATAGCTTATAAATAAAAATTTACATTTTAATTTCCATTATAATAGCCTCGGTCACAATTTCATCTCTCTCAAAGACACGTGCATAATGAGGTTAATTTGGTCGTTCACATTTTCCACATTTTCCCCTTTAAACATGACAACATTTAATTTCACCTAAGTTAGATAATGGAAGGTCCATTTCTAATAGATAGATTAAGCTCAACGGTTAAAATGTTAGACATTTTCTAATGGATCGGAGAGAAAGTGTTTTTTTTAGTGTCTAGCTTTGAAACAATTAAATTCAAGGTTTTATATTTAAATGTAATGAATGAACCATTATAGTAATATAATAATATGGTGGTCAAAACCAAATTGGGTTGTCTACATTGACGTAAGACACGCCTCATTTAAAAAATTGTATAAGGGAGTATATATGTGCGAAGTGTATATATAAATACATATAGAAACAATTTGGGTCAATTGTATACAGGATCCAATTAGTAACATGTGGTATCCATAATCCATTAATTCATCAAGAAGAACTAATATACTATGTGTACAAATATATTAAAATATGTATCTGCTATACTCTAGACTAGAGAGGATAGTTTTGTCCGGACGTTTGACAAATAGTTGAGTTAATTCTCACGGAAAAATACTCGAATTAAAACGTAGTACTAAGTATAATTTCATATTTCTATTACTCCGTTCTACACTAGATTGAGCTTCTATTTTTTGGAACTAGATTGAGCTTTTACTTTTTTTAGAATTGATTTTGCTTTTATTTCTTTTTAAAATTAGAAGCAAAATCAGAATCTGTTTTTCTGAATCTCGTCTCATGTCTCTCTTATCTTTTAAAAACTGCTTCTATGCGCAATATAGAGCTAGCACATAGAATTATTTCTATAATTTCATTCAAACACTCCAATATGTATTTCTCTAGAGCAGAAACTGTTTGGATGTAAAGATTTCTATCCAAAATCTTTGTATTTACTTCTTAAATTTACGGTAAAAATAATGCACACTGAGAAAAAATTTGTTTCACTTTTTAAGTTGTGATGATGTGAAAGGGTAATGTTAATTTTTTAGCAGTGGAGGCCTGGAGGATACTACTCCGTCTTTCCAAATTTGCATTTATTTTCCTGCATGGGTTTTGGGGATTTGAACTTCAGATTATATCGATCTATCAATATACGTACTCCCATCTCTTTGCTGAAAACATTGTTCACCGGGACAATCTTTTGTGTGATTTAACAACACGTACGTCCTTTATGCTTTTTGTCATTGATTTTTGTAATTTTATACCCTCGGTATGCGTGTCATACTCTCATCAAACATATTATTTGCCCATTTAATTTATCGTTTCTCTTTTGCTGTATACACAATTCAATCGAGAATTGGCCCGGCCTCCTTAATGAAGAAATGTTTTTCAACCCAAACCCAAAAATGGTTACTCACTCGCTACACCACGACCGACCCGACCGAATGGTAAAATAGTAAACATGTTTTTTTAGTGAAAATATAATTTTCCATGAGTTTACAAGTAAAATAAATTATTGGCATTCTAAGGTCATGCTAATTTTCCAATTTAAGCATATATCAATAATTCTCTTATTTAAGAAAAATAGTTATTGCTCATATTTAGAAAATTTCATTAATTTTTCTAATATTTATATCAATTCTTAGAAATATTATCAAAAGAAAAGGTAAAGTCATAAATAATGACATATCTATAATTAAATAATTATGGCAGACAAAAGTATGACTTGATTTTACTTGGATTGTAATTTGCTGGTTTGGTCTGGTCTGGTAACAGCAGATCTCTTTGTATTTTTATAATAATCCAAGTCTGGTCTGGGACAGATTACAGTCTAAGTAAAAATATCCTAAGAGCTCGTTTGGTAATACTAAAATCGGTTGTATTGGTTGATTTTGTTGAAATTTATAAAGTTTTGGCTGAAGTGAATGAATTAGCTAATTCTGCTGATTTATGAAAAAATTATTTTCAAAATATATTCTAGTAATAAAATAAAGAAAAAAAATTATATGAAAAACAACTAAATTGATCTTCTATAGTAAATTCAGCCAATATACCCAAAAAGTAACTCAAACCTTACTTTTATTTTATTACTCGTATTATACAAATCAACGCGCGAAATCTAAAATTAGATGTTTGATGAAAAAGTTGGTTGATAAACCTGATTAGCCGAAAAAGAGCGTCACCAACGGGCTTGTAATTAATATAAAAGTAACTTGCTTAGGCTTTGTTTGCAAGTGCGTGTGTTTAAAAAAACACTTCTTTGGAAAAAGTGATTAGTAGTAAAAGTTGGTAGTGTTTGGTAGAATAAGTGGTTTTTGTGCAATAAAAAAAGTAGAAATTAGATTCTACATGAAAGCCGAGAAAAGTAAAAGTTGATAGTGTTTGTTAAAATAAGTACTTTTTTAAGCCAAAAACTAAGTTGGGAAGTGCTTCTTTTTAATGGTTTGCAAACAAAGCCTTAATGCTCAATGTTTTTATTTTGGCGATGATGACGTTATAGTGTTATACTCATAATAATTTTAATGGGTAAATTAAATGCTATCTTGATAAATTTTACTACGTAGAAAATAGTCAAAACACCTCAAAAAAATATGGATGTGCGGGCTCAACCTAACCCAAGGAAAAGGTTGAAATATGTTCTGTAGACCAACAGTCTTCAGTCTCTATCAATTTGCTTGCTTCCTTGTTCTAGATAATCTAATTTTAGCGTATATGCTCAAGTATAATAACCACAGTCAAATGCATGTACTTACTCCATTGAGAGTAATCATTTCGTATAGCTCCTTGCTAGCTGGATCAAATTTATGGCCGGAAAGGTGGAAACCTTAAAAGGAATGAAAGTTTATTTTCTTATGTGTATCTAGACTAGACAGGACAAGCCTTGTTACCCATTTCAAAAGTAAACCCACTAATAAAGAAATAAAGTTGTAGCAATTCTGTTTCTTCACGTGATGGGTCTTGTATTGTTGGTTAATCACACACATGGAAGCTTTGGTATTTTCCTTTTTCAAATTTATAAATAATAAGTAGGATTGTTCATGGGGGCCTATTTATATATTCATGTTTTTGTTGATATTCTTTTGTTCGAGTTTGTTTTCAAAAATATTATTGAAATCAGGGGCGGATCCAGGAATGCAGAGTGGGGTGGGCTAAGCAATAAAAAAATTGTTACTGCGCACAAAAGGTTTAGCGTAACTGCTTAAGGCTGTTATCGAACCGAACTTTTTTTAAGCATTTGAGTTCGAGTGTGATTTCGCATTTAATTTAACAACCTGAGCTTAACGAGCTCGAGCGTAGTGATATTCGGTTCGCACTCGATCCTGTCGATAACTCACAAATTATAGGAATAAAATTTATATATCTTAATATTTAAATGTTTTAGTCCAACTTTATAAATTTTTTAATGATTATTAAAAATTCTGATATTTATTGGTATGAATTAAAGTACATCTTTAATGATAAAAAAAAAAATTAAAGTACTTCTTTAGGTATAAAGCTAATAAGTAAAAACAATCAGTGTCATATAATTAATAAGTATTCCCAATTTCAAATTTGAATTGAGATTATTAATTTTTTCGTTTAAAAAAGAATCACAAAATGATCCCTCAATTTACATTATTAGTTCTAACTAAGCTTGTTGCAAAAACTAGAACTAGATAAGTGATTGGACGATGAAATAAGCATAATAATAAGGGAAAATCACACTCTTAGTCCCTAAAATAGTCATGAAATTGAAATGTCCGACCCGTGTTCCCAAGTTTGTAAATGTCGTCCTTCAATCATCCAAAATGTTATAAATGTGATCCTTTGAGAGGTGAATTATACAATGTGGACGAGAGTACATTTCACCACTTAAAGGACCACATTTACAATATTTTAGACAATTGAAAGGTGACATTTACAATCTCAAAAATATGAGTCTGACATTTCATTTTGGTGACTATTTCATGGATTAAAATAGTGGATAAAAAGTGACTTAGTTATTAAAATAATTAATTATGTTTAATTTTCACAATTAGAGTGATCTAATAATGTACTCATAGTGACATTATTAGTCAAAAAAGGATCCTTATTCTTATGCTAGTAATATTTTAGAAAAAAACTCATGATAATAATAGTAGTAATTAGTTAATTACTATATTAATAATAGTAATTATAATGTAATACTCCTTGTCCCTAATAATTTTGCCAAGTTTGACTGGCACAAAAATTAATAAAAGTAAAAACTGTGTGGTAGAGATTTGTGCAGAGGAGAGAAAATTAACTGAAACCACAAACTCTTTACTACTTAAATGAAATCGTGACAAAATTAATGGAACATCAAAAAATGAAAGTTGATAAAGTTATAAACGACACAGGGAGTATTATAATAATAATCGTCAAATTAATGTTAGCATAATCATTTTGTAAATTAATGTTGTAATATAAAATATAAAATTCTAAAAATTCAAAGGAGTACAATGGTGTGGGGTGAGTGGGTGAGATAGGTTTGCACCTAGGACTAGCAAATACGAGT